CTTCCCCACTGAAATAGATTTTTGCGCATTAATTTTTAATAATGTCGCAAACGTTGCCTTGGTGATATAACGGATCGTACCTGTTTGTGGTCGAGTAAGAAGGCCATCTCTAAGATACGTGTGTTTATTTATTTTTTGAGGCTAAAATATGTAGCCAGGGCTAATTGAAGGGTTTGAAAACAAAAATGTGTTGATATGTTAAAAACGCGAGTCGAAGCATGTATCCAAGTTGTGTTGAGAAGTCTGTAAATGTCGTCTGCGTAACACTTAACATAGCAACTCTGCCATCCAGTCATGATCCAGTGACAGGAATGTTTCGTCTTCTTTTCGCTGTTTTGAAAGCCCCACTGCATCCAGTTATAATCCAGTGGTCAGAATGTTTCATTGTCTTCTCATTGTTTTGAAAATCTCACTGTCCTCCATGCCATCCAGTCATGATCCAGTGACAGGAATGTTTCGTCTTCTTTTCGCTGTTTTGAAAGCCCCACTGCATCCAGTTATAATCCAGTGGTCAGAATGTTTCATTGTCTTCTCATTGTTTTGAAAATCCCACTGTACTCCATGCCATCCAGTCATGATCCAGTGATCAGAATGTTCCATTGTCTTTCCACTATTTCGCTCACACACACACTGTTGTATTATTGTACGGGTAAATTTTCCATTGAACGAGGGCATCCCAAGGATGGGGAGAGCAAAGGGAAAATTTTCCCCACCCCCAACCTAGCCCCCTCGCATATATTATTCAAACACATGCATGCATGCGAGCAAAGCTGAATTGGTTCCGTACGTGCCATGCCAGCTGAATTTGCCAGCTGTAGTCCCAGCTTGAAGTTTTTATTCTTAAATATTTTTATTTAAATTTATTTAAATACAGATAAATTTACTAAAAAAATTGAAAACGTGCCCAAATTGCACGCAATATATATAGGTCTATATAGCCTTCGCCAGATTCACGCCAACTTTGCTCTTACAATGAAAAGATTATTTCGGGGGCTAATTCGAGCATACTACTTGAGATAATTACACACCCTGCATCTTCTGATATAATCTTAAGATTACCCTGTTAAAATAAAGGTTTCATTCATCTTTGGATGATTATCACCTTCAACAAAATAATACATGTTTCAAAGAATTAAAGGAGTGTATATAGGGCCAACTGTCTCTACAGATACTCGCATGGTTTCGGCTTTGTTCGGATTTCACTAATGTTCATTTCCTCTTACATTGCAGGTGATACTGTCATTTCTATTTAGTATGACATATATTGGTCTTTATTATGTCGAATCCCAATAGTAAGTGGATTTCTTCTAGCGGACATGTGAATGTTTCTGTGACAAAGGGGTTAGTGAATGTATCTTCCACCTCTGTGACTGAGGTTCCATCCCTGTAATATCAAAAGTTGTCGCAGTTGTCTGATTATAATTTCACCTCAGTCACATGTGAGAAGAGTGCTTCCAGTTTGACCTTACCAAACCCTGTAGGTTTTCTCAAGGTACTCAAGTTTCTTCTGTAGTAACACTGGATCAACAAGAGATGATCCTTACCGGACCTCTAGGAAAAACAGTTTAGAACTGATAGAGCTATCCAGTATAAATAAAGTTAGTTTAGTTTAGGTTTCCTCCTGTAGTAACACTGGATCGATAAGAGATGATCCTTACTGGACCTCTAGGAAGAACAGTTTAGAACTGATAGAGCTATCCAGTATAAATAAAGTTAGTTTAGTTTAGGTTTCCTCCTGTAGTAACACTGGATCAACAAGGGTTGATCCTCATTTGGACCTCTTTCTCTTATACATTTATTCTTCTTGTTTCTAGTCCAGTTGAACATTGTTTAGAACTGGACAAACAGAACCTATGGATATATGAGATTGCACTCAATACATTTTTCATAGTTCATTTTATAATCAGGGTAAGATTTCAGAATATGATGGTGAACTTCAGAAATGTTGACATTTATACGAGCAAGAAAATTAAACCGTACATCTCTCTATTCTTAATACAAGACTACTACATAGAATGAAAAAAATGAACATTATTCTCACACACTGATAACTGCAAGTTGACCACCATCTGCTGCACGATATTGCTCAATGAAATTAAGACATATATAGTTTAGTTTTTAATACTAATTTTCAGTCTTATATAATTATAGTTTTTGGCAGCAAATGACAAATTGTTATTTTGGTTGGAGTTATCATCTATCGTCGATTTTTTTACCGTGCCACAAGTGTTTGTGTCAATAGTTGTTGAACAAACATGGCTAGGTAAGTGAAAATAACCAAACGTGGGTCGTGCAGTGTAGGTAGTATTCCACAATAAGCTATCGTGGTTTGTGTCTGAACTATCTAAAAGAAATATCTCAAATTTGGTGGTCCAGTGTAGGTAGTATTCTACAATAAGCTGTCGTGGTTTGTATCTGAACTACCTGAAAAAGATATCTCAAATGTAGTGGTCCAATGTAGGTAGTATTCTACAATAAGCTGCCATAGTTTGTGTATGAACTACCTGAAAAAGATAATTATTTCAAACGTAGTGGTCCAGTGTAGGTAGTTCATATACTAGCCCCACGGCCACGTCAACATCACATCTATAAACTACAAAATTAACCACCTCTATAATAATGCATTTTTTTAGGTCTAAGATTTTTGAGAGCTCTTCAACTATTAAGGCTTTCAGAAGTTTTGCAAATCCTGGGTATTTTACACAGCGCGTAAGCATAACTAAGCACATTGAATTCCTGTTTTAACTTTTCACCTAATTTTAGCGATTAATGAGTAATTCATTCGTTCGCCTTCTTGTTTAGTGGAAGCATAGAAATGGCGACTGTTATCGGCAATTTTGTCGGCCTGTGGATCACGTCCGCTGGAATGGTGCACATTGTGAGTTACCATTATTGTTGGTTATACAATGGTTGTTCAAATTTGGTGCAATGTACGGTCAACCATTTTGACAACCATTTGAAAAAGGCAAATTCAGGATCCGAAGAACATTAAACACTTTTTCCAAGTCGGTTTTGAACACATATGTTTCTTATCTTTTGTCTAGCTTGAGAATACAGGAGACCCCTTTGGAGATCACGAATACGAAGGACGGCATTTGAACCCATTTGACTGTTTGTACTTTTTGTTGGTAAGTGCTTTTCTTGATTGTTATTGATTCATTCATTCACTTGGAAATGGACCTTTCTCGTGTGTACGGTCAACAAGTTTTCCTTGACAAAGTGTTCCTTATTGCCAGTTCTTTTTGCTCGCGTGCACGGAATGTTGTTAAACAAATATCTCACATGAAGATCACCTTTGACGGCTTTGTTTGCCAAAACAATAGAAGCAGTTTTCCTTGATCGTACACACGAATACATTTCCCTTGTCCAAAATCTGGCAAGATTAGCTTTGGAATAAGGCTTCTTGGCAAGGAAGGCATTTTTTACAAAATTTGTCAAAGAAAAATGGGGGCTTAAGACTCTAGTTGTTTTTAATAAATACTGAATTAGTTAACCGTAGTTTTTTTCTGTTTTGCTAGGTAACAATGTCGACCGTGGGTTATGGTGATATCTACTGTCATACGTATCTGGGAAAAATTTTCATCTGCATATTTATTTGTGTCGGCCTCGTCATGTTCACGTCAGCAATTCCGGTAATCGGGTCATTCATTGCATCGCAGTCGAAATATAACAGTTCTTTTAAATCTACGGATGGTGTAAGGTAAATCGATAAAGTATATATTAATATTTTGTAACTTTATTTGCAGTGGATCACCTATATCATGCAGTTTTAAACTTTCAGTGACAGTGCAGGTAATGACTCCACCAGTATATGATTTCGTTCCTCTTCACCAAAACATTCTCACTCTATTTTTCAGTCATGTCGTTGTTTGTGGTCACATTACTAAAGACACAGTGGACAGCTTTCTTCGGGAGTTTTTGCATCCAGATCGAGACGATGTGAATGAGCATGTTGTCTTTCTGTATCCGTAAGTGAAGTTTCTAGTATTTCCATTCATGAGAAACTAAGTTGAGCCAAAAGAGGTGTTCATTCAAATCGGTACGTTGCAGAGAATTTGCAGTGAAAAATCATATGCACTTTGTTTCCAGGTCATTTCCTACAAGTGAATTAGAAGCTGTGTTAAAGCGAAATTCGACAAGCGTGTCTTACTTCAAGGGAACTGTCTTGGATGGCGGAGATTGCGAGCGAGTAGAGGTATTGCGGAGGAATGAACTTTGGCAACAACGAAACCCCATAATTAACAATCTCGTGCTCAAATTAGTTTGTACCCACAATTTCGTGTTCTTTGGACAGCTAGATCACGGGTTACAACGTTTTGAAAATTTAACTTGCAGAAGCAAATTCTGGACAAAATGTATGCGAAATTTTCAAAGCTTTATAACTCGCGACCTAACTGTCCCAACAACGTGAAATTTTGTGTATGGACTATTCTGAGCATGAAAAATTCAATTCTGGGGTCCATTTTCCCCAAATATCAAAATAAGAACTTTGATAGCGCTGGATCGTCGAATTCTAAAATTTGGAGGTTTTTTATTCCAGATGAGAGAGGCATCGGCAGTCTTGATCTTAGCCAACCGTCATTGCACGAATCCCGACGCTGAAGATGCTGCTAATATCATGAGGTAAGGGCTGGACCATTGGATATCCTGGGAGGTGGGGGCTGGCAGATCCCCCAAAAAAATTCATGCAAAGAATGCAGTGTCGGGAAAGAAAAAGCATTTAGGGAAAGAACTACAACTACATGGAACATATAGAAATATAAAGAAAAAATTCCTGCACAGCTTCTTCAACGTAAAATAAGTTCGACAAAGCTCTGAAATAAAAGTACTTCTTGCAAGGAAAATTTCCCCTCCCCTTAACTAAAATACAATTAATCATTTGTTTAAATGTTAGGGTTATTTCAATCAAGAATCTTTCATCAAGAATCCGAGTTGTTATTCAGCTTTTACAATATCACAATAAGGTAATTATTCTAAAAATTATTTCAATTTATTTGACATTATAACTGGAGATATACGCGCTTGTAACTAGTGGAACAGACGGTGAATTTAATTTCTGTTTCTTAAGATGCATCTATTTAACATTCGTTCCTGGAATGCTGATAATGGTGATGATATGGTTTGCGTGAGTGAGGTACGATAAAACAACCTATCTTTCATTCATGCAATGGACCTATTTCCTAATGAACAAAATTTTGATCTGGACAAGTCTAGATAAAGATTTTATCACAGCTTGAAAGAGCATCACAAAATTAGTAATATTCCGAAGTTTCGTTGCAAAATGTTGTAAAATGCGGATATGTTCATTAGGGAATGGGTCCATTCATGTCGTTGGAACAATTTATGCTGAGTTCTGATATGCATTAAATGATTCTTTCTTTAGCTGAAACTTGGATTCATTGCACAAAGCTGTCTTTCTCAAGGATTCTCCACACTTTTGGCCAATATATTTGCCATGCGAAGCGAGGTAAACTACACCACAGGAGGAAACCTTTATTTATACTGGGTAGCTCTATCAGTTCTAAAATGTTCTTCCTAGAGGTCCAGTAAGAGGCACCTCTTATTGATGCAGAACCTAAACTAACTTTATTTATACTGGATAGCTCTGTCAGTTAGAGAAATTGTTCTTCCTAGAGGTCTAGTAAGGATCATCTCTTATTGATCCAGTGTTACTACAGGAGGAAACCTAAACTGAACTAACTTTATTTATACTGCTTAGTTCTATTAGTTGTAAACTGTTCTTCCCAGAGGTCCTGTAAGAGACATATCTTACTGATCCAGTATTACTACAGGAAGAAATAGCTCTATCAGTTTTAAACTGTTCTCCCTGGAGTCGAGGTTCAGTAAGGGTCATCTCTTATCGGTCAAGGAAATCGGAATACGTGCATGGGGAGAAACTAGATGCATGGATAAAGTCAAATTGGAAACACTGACCACTGTGTCACGAACATCTCAAGGACTTTTTTGTGCTTTTTAGCCATCTGAAGATGAGGAAGTCGCCACTTGGAAAGCAAACTATCTCCTCGGAGCGTCTAAAGAAATGTACACTGAGACCTTATCTCCTGCTTTTGTGGGCATGGGCTTTCATGATTTTGTACTGTAAGTAGTACACATTAAGTTGTAGATGATTTGAATTTAGTACGTTGTTTGTTGACATTGTTGTTGTAGAAACATGAATAACAACAGCAATAACAGGTAGTTTAAGATGCCGACAACGAACAACGGGTACAGAGTACGGTTGAAGGCTTGTTTTCGCATTGCTTTAACTGAGGCAGACAAAATTTAAATATCTCCAGAGCATGCATACTTTTCACCGTAGCGACCTTGGCTACAACGTGAAAATCACATTCTTGTGTTGTCAAACAGAATCAAGAACATAGCACCGAAACTGACTACGCAACGTTGCAGGTTGGAAAATATTTTTATAAAGAAATGATGAAAATTAAAAGATGAAACTTACTGAACCGGCAAAGCCATGCACATAAAACATATTTGGGGAGAATTTATTATGACCATTTAGTATTTGCATACATATAACAAAAACTATTTCAAATGTAGTCGGTATAGTTCGTCGTCAAGATCTTAAACTCCCCAATAGCAGAACAGCGACAACGACAATTAAAACTACCAACACTGATAAACAGTACAGATGTAAGTGTGCTCTTCTAGACACTGAATGAAACCTAATGCATTTTTCTTTTTTATAGCTTTTGCTTCGAGAAACTTGGCCTGACCTTACTAGCTATCCAGTTGCGTTCCAAAGATGGTCATTTACAGTAAGTATTATCACATTTTCTTATCTTCAGTTTGCATCGTCACATATCAGTGGTTTACATTGATAAATTTTCTAACAGCCCGGTGAAACCAGGATGAGAGTTGTTGAGAAGCGAGAGTTTGCATGAGAGTTTTCTCAACTGTCATGTCCCATTCAAACAAGAACAAGAGTTACATGAGAGTTGATGAAAGTTGACTGGATATTATACAAGTCAAACCAACAAGAACTCTCACATTAACTTTCATCAAAGTTGATGAGAGTTGATAATAGTGCATGAGAGTCGATGAGAGTTAAACGCGAGCGAAGGATACAACAACTCTCGCCCTTGTTTGAAAAAGGATTAATGCTGGTGGCTCACTCATCTCCTTGATTTATCTTTTTCCAGCTATGTTCTCAATCCGTGTGACGAGAATGTCAAGGTTGAGCCAGGCAGCAAGGGTTGTTTCATCGCAGATTCAGCCATTGAAGTTAAAAGGTAAAAATTTTTCTAGCCCAATCTGTTAGACGATTATTCTTCCCCACTGATTAAACGTCATCTATTCCTTGTCCAGAGTATTCCTATACTGTAACAAATGTCATAACAACGTCAACTCCCCGGAAGAAATTGAGGAATGCAAATGTGGAGGTGGGAGATTGCTTTCATGAAGAAATTTTTGTCCATGTAATTTTTAATTTTCAGCAAATTATATTCTTGTTTTCAGAAAAAGGTTCGAGTAAAATGGTTGTTCCTCCTGCGATAGTGAATGGTAAAGTATTCCTCTTGATATTTTTTATTTCTGACACCTAATTATAATTATTAATTTGGAATCGTCGTATTTTCTCTGTTAAATGCGAGGGTCTAGTGTACGTAGTATCCCACCATAAGCTGTTCGTTGAAATTCTTTCGTTTTGTTTTAGTGGATGAGAATGAAACATGTATTGAGTTATTCACGCCTACCAACAAGACTAGGCCCAATTTAAAGAGAACTGCAACGAAGTAAGTTCATAGTTTTTGCTGCTGCATGACCCATGTCGCCTCTGTGAAGAACTAATAGAATTATCCTGTATAAATAATGTTAGTTTAGTTTGAGTTTCTTCCTGCATTAACACTGGATCAATAAGAGAAGATCCTATAACTGGACCTCTAGAAAGAACAGTTTAGAACTGATAGAGCTATCCAGCATAAATAATGTTAGTTTAGTTTAGTTTGAGTTTCTTCCTGTAGTAAGACTGGATCGACAAGAGATGGCTCTTTCAGAACTGATAGAGCTATCCGATATAGATTTATGTTTCCTCCTGTAGTAACACTGGACCAATAAGTATAGAAACTGTTACTGAAACTCTGTCTTGGATAAACATAGTTTTTTTTTAATTGAGCTGAGACTGTATTTCAATTTTCTTGCAGACTTCAAGACTTAATGGCAGTACCTGGCAAGCCTAACATGTTCGATTCAACAGGAACATACTACTGGTGTGAGACAGTCGATTTTGACACGGCCACTGTGGTAAGTGAGAGGTCCACTGCTCAGTGGCGGCACCAGGCCTCACATTTTGGGGAGAGGGGGGGCAATAGACCCATTGCACAAGACGTCACAGCGCCGGTGACGATGCGTCTGGAGGACAAATTAGCAATCTATGCATAATATAATTTTTGTAAACATATCAAATTTTGTAAAAGTTTATAATAATTTTGTATTAAAATGGTTGATTTTTGCGCTGTATCTGGTTGTTGTACCCGAACAGATATTGTAAGGAAGCATCTGGAGGACACTGTAAGGATTTGTGACGTCAGTGCAATGGGTCTATTGAGGAGCAAACTAATCTTTTGGGGGGCCAAAAGCTTTTAAAGATCAATGTTATAAACGTACGCGTAATGTTGCATGAGAATTTCTGACGAGTCTGGCACAAACTCTCTCGTCAACTCTCATTAAAGCTCAAAGCTGACGACAGTTGACGCAAGCGAGAGTTGCATCTCTCATCAACTCTCATTCTTGTTTTACCGGGGGGACTTTACCTTACTTTTTTATCTCCTAGGATCGCAGCAAAGCTGAACAGATAGTATTCAACAATCATATAGTGGTGTGTGTCTTTGCTGAATCCAACGGCCCGCTTGTAGGGCTGCGGACACTGTGTATCCCGTTGCGGGCAAGCAACCTGCAACCTAGCGAGCTGAAGAAAATTGTATTTGTCGGGGATGGCGACTACTTGAGAAAGGAATGGGAACAACTCTGTAATTTTCCCGAAATCAACGTCATGCCGGTACGTGAGGAAAATTAGTGGTTTTAGGAAGCGTTACAGGCCAGCAAGCGTTAGCGAAAGATATTTCAAACGTGGAGGTCCAATGTAGGTAGTATTCTAGAGTAAGCTGTTGTGGTTTATGTCTGAACTACCTGAAAAAGATATCTCAAACGTGGTGGTCCAATGTAGGTGGTATTCTACAATAAGCTGTTGTGGTTTGTGTCTTAACTACCTGAAAAAAATATCTCAAATGTGGTGATCCACTGTAGGTAGTATTCTATACAATAAGCTGTTGTGGTTTGTGTCTGAACTATACCTGAAAAAGATATCTCAAACGTGGTGGTCCAGTGCAGGTAGTATTCTACAATAAGCTGCCGTGGTTTGTGTCTGAACTACCTGAAAAAGATATCTCAAACGTGGTGGTCCAGTGTAGGTAGTACTCTACAATAAGCTGTCATGGTTTGTGTCTGAACTACCTGAAAAAGATATCTCAAACTGACGTTGTGGTCCAGTGTATGTATAGTATTCTACAATAAACTGTTGTGGTTTGTGTCTCAACTACCTCAAAAAGATATCTCAAATGTGGTGGTCCACTGTAGCTAGTGTTCTACAATAAGTTGTCGTGGTTTGTGTCTGACCTGTCTGGTTCAGAAAAGGAAAAGTTTAATTCAACTTTTCTCCACAATAGGGCTCCCCATTCAACCGAGCAGATCTCAATGCCGTAAACGCGAATCTGGCAGCAATGGTCGTAGTTCTCTCACCGATAGTTCAAGCTGCTGACGCCTTAAATGATAACCAGGCATTCGCTGATAAGGAGCCAATCATGGCCAGTTTAAATTTGAAGGCTATGTCTTTTGATGACGTTGCTACAGTATTACAGAGAGAGATGGTCGCTCATTTGTCAGCGGATGGAGAGAACGATTCTAAAGTTTCTCAACCAAATAGAATACTTTCTATGTCCAAATTGCAGGAAATTAGCGCAGTTTTACCAATGATTACGGAGTTAGGTAAGTCCGCTAGATGCTTATGTTTTCATCCACGTTTGGTTCAGTGTCTGTCCGTGTGTGTTTGCCTGTCAACTTAAAAAATATCAAACGTGTTGATACGAAAAGTTGTGGGATTAATTAGACCGCGAACTGCAAATCTAAACCCGCGGAAAGGAGGGACCGCTCGCAGTCTAGGGATGACTAGGGATTAATTGACATTGCCCAAGAACAAATTGGTTAAATTTTAGTTAAATTTCAAGGATGAAAACTGGATGAGAATTTACAATTTTCATCTTGCAGAGTTCATCTTGCATCACCATACTGAATGCGTAATTTGATTTAACAGGGTTCGTAGCGGTCTTTGAAATCCTTGAAAGTCTTTAAATTGGAATGCAGGTCTTTGAGGTCTTTGAAATGTATTTAAATTGTGTGAAAAAGCGAAGAAAGTCTTTAAAAGTCTTTAAATTCTTTAGTGAGGAATTGATTATACGATTTCCTAGCTAATAAAATAGATTGATTGAATCAAGATTTTCGCAAATATCGACGAAAATGCGCATTTTAGGATGTGATTTGACCATAGATATAGGAGACCTATGGACTTGACTGGACTTATTACCGGGTAAAAATGGTGCTCACACTCGCAATTTTTCGACAGCTGATTGCTCTCAAAGGTTTTTGAAAAGTCTTTCATAATCAGAAAAAATCTTTGAAAGTCTTTGAATTTTTTTGGTCTTGGAGACTACGAACCCTGTTTAAGGAAATGGGTTTCCACCATAGTAACTCTCTCCTCCAAACAAATCCTTCCCTGGCGTTCTTAACTCAATCTTTGTTTTTCCACTTTGGCGTTCTTTTTTCCTCTCTTCATTTCCTTTGGTCCATGTGTAATTATTTTACCCTGATGTCGTTATCCTGCAGTATTTGACAACAACGTGCAGTATTTGGACGACGAAGACGAAGATGAAGACGGAATTGGTTTCTACGAAACTCAACCTTTCGCATGCGGCCATGCTTTCACCGTCTCTGTGTTAGACTCTCTTATGACAGCCGTAAGTATCTAAATATATATTGTCTTATTCATAATGGATACTTGGGTAGCTCTATATATTAGTTTTAAACTGTTCTTCTTAGAGGTACAGTAAGGATCATCTCTTATTGATCCAGTGTTACTACAGGAGGAAACCTAAACTAAACTAACTTTAGTTATACTGGATAGCTCTATCAGTTTTAAACTGTTCTTCCTAGGGTCCAGTAAGGATCATCTCTTATTGATCCAGTGTTACTACAGGAGGAGACCTAAACTAAACTAACTTTAGTGATACTGGGTAGCTCTATCAGTTTTAAACTGTTTTTCTTAGAGGTACAGTAAGGGTAATCTCTTATTGATCCAGTGTTACTACAGGAGGAGACCTAAACTAAACTAACTTTAGTTATACTGGATAGCTCTATCAGTTCTAAACTGTTCTTCTTAGAGGCCCAGTAAGGATTATCTCTTATTGATCTAGTGTTACTACAGGAGAAAACCTAAACTAAACTAACTTTATTTATACTGGATAGTTCTATCAGTTCTAAGCTGTTCTCCATAGAGGTCCAGTAAGAATCGTCTCTTGTTGATCCAGTGTTACTGCAGGAGGAAACCTAAACTAAACTAATTTTATCTATCCTGGTAGCTTTATCAGTTCTGAACTATCCTTCGTAGAGGTCCAGTATCTCGTATTGGTATAGTGTTGATATATTGTTATTTTATCCCCCCCCCCCTTAGACTTACTTCAATTCGGATGTGTTGAACCTGGTGCGAGCTCTGGTTACTGGAGGTGTCAGCGCTGAACTGGAGGCTCAGTTTGCGGAAGGACACGAGATCCGAGGAGTTGAGGAAACGCCAGAGATTGCAGTGTTTAGACGGAGAGCAAAACTTACACAAGTCCCTCTGTTCGAAGGACCTATGAAAGAATTTGGGGTAAATGATTGATTTGTAAACTTCTTATTCTGGAGAGGTTCCTTGTTGATGTATTGGTACTACAAGTAAATACCTATAAACTAAACTAACTTTATTTAAAGGCACAGTTCAGCCTTTTGAATGATAGTTTTAAGGCGGATTACAATTTTTCCTAGAGGCCCAGTAAGGATCATCTCTTATTGACCCAGTGTTACTACAGGAGGACTACAACTTAAACTATAATAACTTTATTTATTCCTAACCTAACCCTACTTCAAGTTTGTTTCTAAACCAATCTTGAAGAAAAAAGTTTTGACGAAATGTCATTCTGAGGTCAGCGAAATAGTATATACCCAGTAAGAACAGTAATAAATACCCAGTTAACGGAGATCATAAGAACATTCCTTAGATTTTCTTTTCTTCTTTTTCAGGAGGGTCGTTCATTTGGCCAACTCTTCACGCATGCTCTAAAAGAATTTCACATCGTCTGTATTGGTGTCTACCGTTTGATGGGTGGATCGTCCTCACGTCGTTACGTCATCACCGCACCTAATGCTGACTTTGCACTTAATCCTAACGATCTAGTATTTGCACTTGCGCAGAGCGACTTCGTAGTCCTACCAGGATCCTAAAATGTTTTGGTCCCGCATGAGATCGGTCTGCGGTCTGTCCATGGTTTTGCCTTTAGACTCCACCTATGTTTTTTTTCTGTGGACCATTACTGGTTAAAGATTCTACCATTAGCTATGGTTTCTTCTGTAGACAATCTGTGGTTGAATTTTCCTGCCATATTTAAGTATGCATTGGTGTACACGACACAGTCTCCGCCAGAAATCCTTTTGCGAAGAAATCCGTCGCCTTTTTTGCGTTTCAAGTTATTGCCAGATAAGGTTATGATCACCTCTGGATAAAGAAGTATTTGATTGTTGGCAAAGGCTTTTTCAGTGTTCCTTTGCAAGTGCAAAAAGTGGTCAAATTGGAATAGCTATTAAGGACCTCGATAACATGCTCGCTTGAACGACCATCGATGTCTGTACGTGACCAGTCGGCTCTGATTTGCCACTTTTGCATAAAGGGTCAACCATCTATTGTGTTAAATGTTAATCTATATATTGATGAAAATCAGGCCTTTTTTCAATTCCTAAATCAGCTCTCAGAGGTGAAACGATACAATGGTACAACACAGCGTAGAATTGGTGGATATAACTCGCACAAGATAGATTATTGCACGCGCTATATTACAGGCACCATTGTAAGTGAAGGCACATCGACTTCAGAATTATTATGCCCCATAAAGGAATGGATAGACAACGGACTATGAAGTCGAAAGCAAGTATATAACAGTGTAACAAATGGATCATTCCATTTAAAAGACGTAACTGCCCTATCAAGGACAAAGGTTTTACAATATCCCTGAAGAATTCGTGTCATCGTGAAAGAGATCTCCAAAAGAATCCTGTTCACAGCATTTGCCCCTATCAGCTTTAGCCCTGAAGAATTTTTACATTTGAGCCCTGAGGATCAGAAATCAGCCCAGTTCAAAATACTCAACTGCTGCTGAAGTATTCCGGAGTAAAACTCGCTTCCTCTGAAGAAGACAGGGGTATTACGGAGATTAAATGGAATAGCCCAATGATTCGATGTTTTGGTATGGTGGCTTAAAGAATTATTCTGGTATAAATCCTGCAACATTTCACAAACCACTCCGCACAATAAACTGAAAAAATCTGACAGAAAATGAAAGCTAGGCACAAAAGGCAAAAAGATGCCTTAGACTCCAACCAATCTTGCAATTGATCTCCCAGCGACGAATAAAAACAATTCATATTTATTTGTATTTTACATTTTATTACTTGTACATATAATTTATAAAGTATTTAAAGACTTGTATAATATTATTGAGTGTAATATAAGTTAATATGGCTTCGGCAGTATTTATTGTAAGTATTTGCAAATTTGTATAAACAATGTGATTTTTAGCCAAAGTTCGAGTGTTGCAGTTCTTACAGTATTGGTATTGCATAAGAAAAACAGCAAGAAAATCATAGCCTGTGAACAGACGTTACTCTGTGAAGAAGTTTAGGGCGGTGGGTGATAAATATCAAATATTGAAAATTTTTTAGAGCCGTCCCCGATCGCAAGACCTTTATTTTCAGTTTGAGGCCGCACCCAATTCAGGCAAAAATATTTGAAGCCGCCCCCCTTTCTCACCCACGGCCCCCCTTTCTCACCCACCGCCCCCCTCCCATTAATGACTGGTCCCCTGTATCAGGAATATCTGATGCTAGGGTTAGGAATATGTATCAGGAATATCTGATGCTAGGGTTGCGTGAAACACGCAACTATATTTCGTGATTGCAGCATAACGTGATCTGCAGTTTAGCCCATTCAACTGGTTAGCCTCAAATTATTTTTTTTTGCTCTCCCCCCCTGACTGGAAAATTCAAGATGGCGGATTTAGGACAACAACTGAATGACAGTTCAGCAAAATCCATACCAGAATGGGCTTCTGGATCAAACCTACGACATGTGGAACAAGATGTTTTGATACCCAAAATCATGAGAGAAGAGGCCAAAATACTGTGCAAGGAATATGTGGACGCTTTCACAAATTGTGCCAAGGGTAGGACACTGTCTTTGGTGACTGCTTGTAGAAATGAAAACCGAGAAATGAAGAAGTGTTTTCAAGAGTGGTATTTCAATGCTGAATTCAGGGGGAGATGTACGGATATCTATTTGAAACGAAGGGAGGAATACCAGGAGAAATATGCGCACACCAATGAGACGGCTGCGTTTAAACGAAAAGAGTCGACGGTTAATATGGGCAAACAGTGAATCGTTTGGTTGGGTCGGGTGACAGCAAACAAAGATATTCAAAATGGTGACTTGCAGATTTAACAATGGTTATTTCAGTGGCTGTAAATTGCATTGTTTGCACTTAACTCACAAACTGAATGGCAATATACGCAGAAAGTACATCACCTTTGTTATAGAGCCTCGTTTTCGTGTTTGAGATGATTGGGCTCTAATATCTCATGCAGAAAAGCAGGGCTCTGTAGCCAAAGTGATGTACTTTCCAGAGATGTGCATTGCAGATCATTCACAGTTTGACACTGACTGATAGTTACTGGACTGCTAATGCCATTGGCTGTGTGTAAAGAAGAATAGTCGCAGATAAAAACATTGTCAAAACAGATAGAATTAAGTGTTGACATAATGTCAACGTCATTGATGTAATGGGTCGTTCCAGAATAGATCCATACTCCCCTCACGGAAGAAATTTCTGCCGTCCGGAGGGGGAGGGGAGAAAAAATTGTTTCTGATAATAATAAATGTATTAGGACATCCGAAGGGGGTAGGGGGGTTAACTTCCTATTTCCTCTGTGGGGGTGGTATGGATGTTTTCTGGAATGACCCAATAAGTAAGTTTTCAAATATTTATGTAACTGAAAATGTGATGTAGTCTAATTTAGATGGTGTTATTTTTGTTCATAAACATTTCCGATAGGCTTCTTACATGTGCAATATAAATGGGTAGGGGCCAATCTCGTACCCAGGAGGGGGTACACAGGAAATCTTGTCTCTATGCATGTCACCATGAGTGGTACAATACACTCAATTCAAAGTATGTGACTTTGGCTATAGAGCCTCGTTTTCATGTATGTGACATAAAACAGCTGAAAGCTTCAACCACGAAAATGAGGCTCTATAACCACATTGCTATGTCATTCGCCCCAGTCCTTTGGCAACACGTGCATGCCACGTGCACATAACCACATCCCAGACACAGACCCGTCCCCCCTGATTGTGGTTGAACAAGAATCTCGAAGGAGTAAAGAAATTTATTAGGTAAGTTTTCAGCGAAATTCGTGCTGCTTTTGTGCCTTGTAGGCCTCTGTTTTGTTTTAAATAGACGTATCGATACAATACGTAAGGAAATATAACTTGTGTGCTTTTTAAACGGTTGATTTTTGAAGGAATTTTGAGATTTTTGGATCGCATGTTCGGTGCAAGTTTCATTATTGTCTAGCCTAAAAGTTTGAGTTTTATGCCATAGAAACATGAAAGTCTAGCTATTTCTTGCTCGAATTTTGCTAAGTTTCGCTAGTGCATACGTTTAAGAGCCAACCTTTTTGGCAAACCATTCACAATAATTTGAAAATTGTGTGAAAATATAAAAATGTTATGAAGTACAAAATTGAGAACTTTAATTGTTCAGAGTTTAGCTTTATTTTTTTTTTTAATTTTTACAAATTTGCCATTATTAAAGATATAAACTAACTATAAATTACACACAATGGCTGGAATGACCACACAGAGATAAAATCTCCAATAACGGGGTTCCACAACATACATAAACATAACAATAATTTACACTATGGTGTGACAGATATTAGACATACTAATAAACAGATAGGCAAATTAACAGGCCACAAATTGAAACAAACAACGATAAGACAACGACATGAGATCCTATTTGAAATTCTGAACTCGTGAATGAAGTACTAGAGTAATTTGAAGCTGTTAAGATTGTTTATGTATCGAGCAAGCTATATTAAAATTTAATGACTGCTTTCCCTATCACGCACACTGTCCACAACCGCCAAAATTGTATACGATTGTTTTTCTGGCGTCTGAAAGCGACTCAAGTTATTTCCATGACCAAAACAGTGATATATGAGCTAACTGTATGAGTATAACTCCAAAACTGAATATTTAATGTTCTCTGGCTTTTAACATGCATAAACATAACAATAATTTACACTATGGCGTGACAGATATTAGACATACTAATAAACAGATTAAAAAATTAACAGGCCACAAATTGAAACAAACAACGATAAGACAACGACATGAGATCCTATTTGAAATTCTGAACTCGTGAATGAAGTACTAGAGTAATTTGAAGCTGTTAAGATTGTTTATGTATCGAGCAAGCTATATTAAAATTTAATGACTGCTTTCCCTATCACGCACACTGTCCACAACCGCCAAAATTGTATACGATTGTTTTTCTGGCGTCTGAAAGCGACTCAAGTTATTTCCATGACCAAAACAGTGATATATGAGCTAACTGTATGAGTATAACTCCAAAACTGAATATTTAATGTTCTCTGGCTTTTAACCATGTTAAAAAACATTGTCGAAAGCGAAGAGAATATTAAAATGTTAAATTTTCAAAGTCGCCGTTGTTTTGTATTTCATAAAAACGCGAATATAACATCCTCCTTATAGAAAGGTCCGGTAGGGAACTTAACCATGTAGGACAGCAACACGACGACAGCGGCAACCAATACAATGAGTCAATGAAAAGAAATAATTAATTAAAGTCCCGGGGGAGTTTTAGACGTGGTGTCCCTCTAGTCAGTTTACAACGGCAAATCACAGATTTCCACGTCTTTTATACAACGCCTGCATTTCGAGGCGTAACAAGTGGAACTTAAAATTCGGTTCAGTAGAACTCGTCCCAAACATATAGCCAATGTTTTCAACTTCTTATACTGTATTATTTTTATTTATTTTTTTTTTATTTATTTAATTCGCCTTGTACATATTACAGTGGCAGGGAATCCGCAACAGCGTTCGCCAATTACTGCGGGCCCGAAAGAGTTTATATACGAGTTTGTCGTACCAGGACAAAAATACATTTTAAATTATTTGGAAAACCTGTACAAAATTTTGAATTCCACAGGTACTCTCTCATGTACAATGCAACGGGGCATTACAAGGAATCTATTTGCCATGCCGAAACATTGGTTTCAAATTTACGAATATATTGAATTATTAAAAAAGATTTTACTAAAAAACGATTAACCCTTTATCCGCAACAGACTTTTCTTTTGTGAACTGTGAAGTAAATCATGACATTATACTGTAGTCATTACAAAGTACTAAAAAAGGGTTTACCCTATTGATAGGATTAAATTCATACGAATTATAATATACGACAAGTTTTCTTTACTATCATTTATTTGAAGGAATTTGTTTTGGCCGTCGTCGTCGTGTTGCCGTCCTACATGCTTAAGCTCCGTTGTATGCTAGTGTCGACAACAACGGCGGCATAACCTTGAAAAATGCTGCCTTAAAGATTTTCTATAGTTTGCGTCTCTTATTCCATAAACAAAAGCATTGGCAATTGAATTAATTCTATAAAGTTCGAAGTTAAAAACCACATACCACGTCGTAGTTGCATCACAAGTTTTACAAACAAAATACAGTGATATTCCGATGACTGCTGGAATAAAACAACACAACGCCAATATAGATACAATGATTATAAATGTCTTGACTGACTTGAGTGCAATTGTCTGACGAAATGAAGATATACATGTAGGCCTACGTCGGTTAGGACGACTTTTGTTTGTCTGATCTACGTTGCATGTTTGTTTCGAGATTCTTCGTTTTTGATTTCGTGCTATCCTTAAAATTTTAAGATTCAAAGAAAAAATAAAAACGATAGGTATATACAGGATGACAACTTCGTATGGCCAGTAGATTTCATCCAGTACTTGGCAATAACTTCGTTTAGGTTGTCTTGATTTTTTAAAATAAACTGCCATTAAGCAGAGAACACCGCAAGAAATGACCCAGATAGCTGCCACAATATTCCTAACTCGTTCTTGGGTTACAATCAATGGATATTTCAAAGGTTTTGCAATAAATATGTAACGGTCAATAGTGATCACAAGGAGTGTAGCCACAGAAACAAACAACAATGCAAGCAGACTGGAACGACTTAACTTGCAAAACAGATCCTGATCACTATCAATGTTTAGTATAGTCTGTATAAACTCAATGATCCATACCGGATAAAATGTTAAACACACGAGAAGATCTGCCAGTGCCAAGTTCCCTACCAAGTAAGATGTCATTGTCTTTTCTTTGCTGGAGAAAATTGTGTAAATTATAACTGTGGTATTCCCCACAACTCCAATAATCATTGCGGTGAATTTAAACACAACTGATGGGAGAAGAGTGTACGTTGCAACTGATTCAGTCAAGTTAGTATTTGCCATTGTTTTTATTGAATGAAGTGAAAGATTGCAATTGTTGAACTGACAATAATTCAACCAAATGTTTGTGCTAGAATATTGTTCATCCAACGGCACTTACTCACCCCAACTTGTATTTGACCAAATTCACTGAACGCTTGTTTGCTGTCGTTACGATCAACAAACACTCGCACTCGACCACGACGCTAAGTTGTTAAATTTTATTTTAATAACGGCAGATGAAATATTACTGAATAATGATTACATCAACAGCTGTTCGACACACAAAATCTAACGGATCTTGTAGAATGGGTTCTTGCTCATCCACATTTGATCCAAATAGTATTTGGGATATATAGAGCAGTCAGAAAAATTGGCTGTTTCCATGCACCGGAAACAGGAAAAACTGTGAGCACACGATCTCTTTTTTTTCGATACAAGGTCTGTATCTGTCAATCATACTGTGTTCATTTTATTTGATTATTATTCATTAACAATATTTTAACGCCGAGTTTACTAAGTTTCGGCAGTTATTGAATGAACAATGACGGCTTTAAAGCCGAACTCGACAGGTTAGGAAAAAATATCGACTCTAAATTCGGTGAGTATTCCACTCATGGGCTTATCTCCACTTATGAACAGCTGCATTGGCAAACCCGTGGGTTCATCAAGCATAATACGAATTCATAGACTAGTAGTCCATCATCACGCACGTGACGTTTTAAATTTTGAGTACGGCATTTAGGGACCGATTACAGGGACTGGGCTAGCCCGGTAAAGCCCGGCTAGGCGATACAACTGCTCAATTGCGATTATATGGAACGAGCTAGCCACGTAAACTGGGCTGAGGCAAACTCGTTAAACCTCATTAGATTAAAAATTTTCAGCATTTGAATATTCGTTGCTAGATATTAATTATTTATAGATTGTTTAAATGCTGCATTTTATGGCTTTCTCGCGTGTACTTAGTTGTTTATTGCTGTAATTACATTCAGTATTGACGCAAATGAGTTTTCTTCGCTTATATATACTCTAAAAACATCCTGGTTAAATTTAACCAATATGGGGTTAAATTTTAACCAGGAAAGTATTCCATATGGGACCGACGCAGTCCTGGTTATATTAACCAGGAAATCCTGGTTCCATTGATTAACCAGTTATTCCTGGTTAATTTAACCAGGAAACATCCTGGTTAAATTTAACCAATATGGGGTTAAATTTTAACCAGGAAAGTATTCCATATGGGACCGACGCAGTCCTGGTTATATTAACCAGGAAATCCTGGTTCCATTGATTAACCAGTTATTCCTGGTTAATTTAACCAGGAATTACTGCTAAAATTTTGACTTGTATCCCAGTTAAATTTAACTTGTTAACGGATCAAATTTATAATCTGATGTTCCTTGCTTCTTTGACATGTTTTTCAACACAAAATTCGTACTGAACAGGGTTTATTTTTAGAAAAATTCACATAATATTGTTAAGTACTAAATTAACTAAATAATTGTCTTGTTTTTAATTTAAATCAAGGATCACGCAAGAGGTTATTGTAGCTAATATAAAAATATTTTCAAAAACCTCTTATATGATCCTTGATTTAAATTAAAAACAAAACAATTATTTAATATGAACAGAGGTGAAAGTTTCAGAAAAACAATTAAATTAACTAATTTAACTATTGGAAGGTTTTTGTAGTTTTAACACTGCATGATCGCCAACAAAGCCATTTACTTTAAAGCTGCTCTCATTGCAACAACAGCTGGGGTTGTCTTTCCTTTCACCTTATCTTCGATGCCATAGAGAACTTTTTGTATGAATTCCCACGACGAAGAGCATTGCCAAGGATAATTAATATCCAGGATGTAAAATACTTTAAAACAAACATCAATTGCCTTCGTAAGATTAGGCTGCTCCAAGCCCTGGCCTTCGATGATAACAAAAACTTGTGTTGGGTTGTAGCGATTACCGATTGCCAAAACAAACGGGCATCTTGGAGCTTCTTCTAAATATTTTGGCATGTTTGTACCAACCTAAATATGAGAAATATTTTAGACCTTTATACGCAATGTTCCGAGTTATCATACTTTAAATGACATATGATAATGCATACCGGTTGGCAATCGATAAAAGCACTCAAAGCTTCATCAATTGTACATCGTTTTCTATTCTTTCTTCCAGTTGGGAACACGCATGGAAGAAGACCAATTGCTGCATTTTTTCTCTCTTCATCTATAAAGTTTATTTTGAACCACTGCTTTCAATTTGAAAACTGAATTTAGACCTTTGATGCGAAACCATTTCCTATACTAGCTAGTTATTATACTTTTCTTACCAGATTTCAAATTCCTTGGAATCATGTGCAAGTACATTGTCCACTTCTCTGCTTGTGTGTCTGCATACGAAATAATCTTCTCCACAATTGGTGGTGTCAATCGCAGAAAGAGGTTCTCTGCAACATCTGCGTATAGTGTTCTAAAGTCTATTTCCACCTAAAATATTAGTAATAAAAACGAATTTGTATAAATAATGTATATACATAATTCCAGGAATGTTTCAAAATTTTACAGTACCATGCCAGGGGTATCGAAAAGACGTGGGTATTCCTTCATAACTTCTCGCATTGGAAGGTCTGGGGTTTTCCTTATCCATTCTGCTCGGTTTAAAACCGTTTTTCCATATAGTTCTTTAAAGTTGATAAAGGTTCTAAGTTTGCTTTCATCCACTCCTTCATCCCATTATGGTCTGATTCATTCAAAACAGGATCTATTCGAAAACAGATGAAGACACAATTTAATATATCCATCATGGAAATTAACCCCAAATAGGATAATTTTAAATGAACGAAATCAACCTGGTAAAGATGTTGTCAGGTGTGTTAATGAGGTTGAAGCTGTATTCAGATCTTTTTCAGTTGGACGGTGTTTAACACTCTTTCTCCTTACATTTCGGAGTCGTTCTTCCAACCATCCTGTAGCAGAATGAATTCCCTTTCCTGATGTGTACCACGCTTCCTATATTCAAAGAAATACAGTTAATTATTATGTTCCACTTTATAACCTGATGATGGCGTCAAGACGGACTCCGTTAAGACACTCTCGATTCGACATTACACATTCAGGGGCCAGTTGTATCAAGCCCGGATAGCGCTATCCACCGCGGATAGTGATTTTTTGAAGCTTTCCAAAACTGGCTGTTTTCTTGTATAACCCAGATTAAATCTTAATATATTTATAAATTGGAGTTTCTTTTATCATTTGTGGGCTCTATATCAGTAGTTTTATAGCTTTTAAAGCACTTTTATGCGGGTTGAAAATTTGACTATCCTGTGGATAGCGCTATCCGACCTTTATACAACTGGCCCCAGATATTTACAACAACATACTTACATATCCTTGACCCTCTTCATCTTTAAGAAAAGGGAACTCCTCTACCACTGACTTTGCCATCTGGATTTTAACGTCTGCATGGGGTCTATATTAAGAGATATCCCAGTTTTATTTTTCAAGCTGGACAATATTGGTTATGTGCCTGTAATTACACACAGATTATTTGAAAGAAAGTACATTTTGATGACAAATTTCACACACCTCTCTCCAAAGCGATTAATTATGTAAGCAACCAGTATCTGAACCATCTTGATTCTGCTTTTTCTGCTTAATATATCAGTATCCAGTTCACTACTCACTTGTACTCCAATTTCCGACTCTTCCAAAATTGATCTGACATTCTTTGGTGGAAAGAAGAAAGCATTTCAAAGCTGTGTATCGCAATTCATTGTCGTTCTTGTGTCCATACTTACAAAATTCATCCTCGATTTCTTTGTTGGTTGAACGTTTTGAGTGCTAGCGCTCTCAGAAAGTGCCTGGTCGACAGCTAGAGGCCGCTTTGGTTCATTTTCGATGGGTTGATCAAGATGTTCGGGGCTTGCAGGTGCCTAGATAGGATGAAATATTAACATTGTAAGTAAACTGATTATGCAATTATAGCAATCGTAAAGAGTTTTTTTTGCATTGTTCAAAATCAACATTTACTTTCAAAATATTT